GGCCGAGCGGCCCTCATTAAAAAATTGGCTCTGAAAAAGGGGGTCTTTGTAGCGGCACATACCCGTGTCACCAATATATGCGAGTACATTGGGATTTATCAATCGAATCATGTATTTTGGAGGTGGAAAACTTTCAATTGACGTCAAAGAATTTGAAATTAGGTATTACATAAAGGTAATAATTGAGTTCAAACCCATATAAATTATCATTTGTTCATTTTGGGGGATTTTGTATCATATAGTAATGGGTGACATTCATGGATTTTGAATGCCAATATGCCAGGCGCGGTAAAAAAAAAAATTGTTGCCAATTTGAATGAAATGTAAAAATCCATGTCAAAATTATTAATTGTCACTGTGTGTCAAAATAGAATAGTCAAAGTGGATGATTGATATGATCAGTCTTGCTTCGATATTTAATATAATATCTTGTGCATCTTTCTGGTCTTAGCGGTAATTTTGACATTGGAATCATTGCAAGGTCAAACTTTTTTGTTTTGCATTGTTGTGGGTCAACCTAGATACACGCACCCGCTATTGCTTGCACCTACATGTACAAAGCATGAAGCTTAATTCCTATTCACTGTCGAAGCCTATGTAACGACCCCGGTCCCGGCTTGTACATTTCGATAGCAACCGCTCAAACAAATGCTTAACGCAGGGCAATCAAGTGCTGTTGGATTATATGCGAATGTGTACTGTGCGCGTGCGTGGCCACGCACTGCGCATTCCAACTTCGACAGCGAATATAGAACCATATGTCAAAAAATGCTGATTACAACGATTTACCCTAGACCTCTATAACAAAACAAATTTCTGTTTATTTGTGTTGTTGGCATAGGGTTCTGCGTTGAACTGCTCGCGAAACACCCAACGATGAACATGCAGTATCTGCAGAAACTTTGCATGCTTTTTGGGTTGTCAAAATAATTTTCCTGATTTTTTCATTGGATTGTAGACCATGCAAGACTGGATCTAGTATGACAATTCCATTGAGAAACAAAAATAAGACAGGGAAATTAAGTTCTAGAGGAAGCTTTGTAGGTGCACCGCTATCGCAAGAGATAGCGGGTGCGTGTATCTACATTGTAGGGTCAAACAGTCTTTTTTAACACAATTTTTCTGACACAATATGAAAAATATGTACATGTTTTTATTTTCCTGCAGCAACTACTTGCCCAAGAAGACGAGCGATGTGAGGAGTCGCGGTTGCAGGGCTAGGGCTTTTTTTTTCAAGCATCAAGATCAAGGAAAGAGTCACTGGTAAGTTTCACTGGGTATTCAAAATTTTGTATCCAAGACCAATTCGAGAGATCGACAAGAGCTGTAAGATATTCTCCGATAGCGGCGCTATATTACTTTGGTTGTGCTGCCTACTTCCAGGACAGGCACGAGTGAATAGCTTTCCTATTGAAATCAGCCAAAATCATGATGCGTCATTATAACGAACGGTTCTAAAACGCTATCGAAAAGTGATTTAAACATTGATTTAAATCAGTTTAAATAAGTGTTTTTGTGAGTATGGGGTTCCGTTGCGGATGAAATGATCAAATTAGCCGGCAAAAATTGAATTCTGTAGGATTTCGGCGTAAAAGACCGGAAGTAGGTAGCACAACCTGAAGCTGGACCCGCTGAGCCAACAGCGCACGTCAACCAATCAGAAACAAGCATTTAATTCATTTAATTTAACGCCCTCTAGCGGCCAAATAGTTATTGTCAATCCCCCAATTTCATCATTCCCAATTAGGCCACTTGTGGTGATGGTGACATACACTAAAATAGATAATGGACCCCTTTTTGGAACTTGATACTTCCCTTACTGGAATGTAATCCCTTCTTCCATAGCGGTGTAACCCTACTAAATTTGATGAATACCATCTGTAGTTTTTCCTATTAAATGCTGTTATAATTCTTGGTTTATATAGGCCTTGTCTTCATTTTCTATTTTTCTCTAACCCTTTTAGACATGCTGACCAGAAGAAGACATTGTGGTGTTGGAAAACCCAACCCCCTTGAGGTAGCAGCACAATACACAGAGAAAGAAAAGGACCCTCCTCACTTCATTGTCAAGCTGTTTGAGAACAAAGGTAAGCAACATCATTTTTTAATTCATAATTAAGTTTCATGGGGCTGCTACAAGTTTAGGTCGTATACTGTCCAACAATATTTGATTGATGTCACAGCAGAAACATAACTTAACAACATAATTTGCATATTTTGCACATTCATTTCAACTCAAGTTCTTTTGTTTTATGCCTCCGACATGAAGTGGTGCCGGAGGCATTCTGTTTTTAGGTTATCCGTCTGTCCGTCCATATTTCTTCTTACCACGATAACATAAAGGGATGTACATGTATACCTGGTGTTCTAGAAGGCGCTGTTCGATGGCATGTTGTGCGCCGCCAATTTTATCCCGAAGATTGACCAGGCATATTTACATACATCATTTTTTTACTGTTTGGAACATGGCATTGTGTAAACACCGGTATGATCGAATAACATATATTGGTGTCAATGGCAACTCACACCGTCTGTCCGAGTACACATTGTCAAGATATTCTGACAAAATTAATTGTACTGATCAAATTGGCACTGTGATTTTTGGAAACATATAAATTCCTGCCATTTCCATCTCAACATAAAAGAAATAGAATGGTGAATCTGGCATAAGAAAATCAGACACACTTCCTGGATACTTTTTGTAATCCTTACTTCCTCAAACTCTACAATGTACAGAACCTGCAAACCCAACTCTTGGAGGGTGTCCAAAATGAAAACAGTGAGAAACAAAACAAATTGAGTTGAGCTGGACATCCTTATTTACTACATATAGAGTATATAGGGACAATGTCTAGATGTGCGCCTGAAAGTAAATTGCACGAAATAAATTGCAAATCAATATTTTGTTGAAGATGACTTTCAGCTGTGACGTCAACAATCAACTATCGTTGTTTAGAGGTACCATAATGTTGGTGTAATGATGTCTTACTGTAATTTTTCTTACAGGAAGAGGGATAGTGGCACAAAGAGACATCTCAAAAGGGGAGTTTTTGTTGGAGTACCCAGGCCAACTTATATCTGCCCAAGAAGGCAACCAACGTGAGGAGGAGGAATCATCTGGTTTTCGTTTTTTTTTTAAGCATCAAGGACAAAGCTACTGGTAAGTTTGCACGTTTTATTCCTATTAGGAGATTATGAAACGGGCACTGTCCATCCGTATGTGTACTACCTATTACTTTTGGATGGTTCGTCCTATCATTACCAAATTTGAATGGTAGATGCATTAGCTAGGGAGGCCTATACATTTTAGTGTGGTCAAAGGTCACTCAGACTTTGTGTACAAAATGTTAAATTTGTACATAAGATGTTAAATCTACATATTACTTTTGGATGGTTCATCCCATCCTCACTAAAGCTGGATTTGGGGGTCATGCGGTCAAAGGTCATAGGGCAATAAATAGCTTGTGGTCGTGTTATCTCAAGAACCGATTGACGGATTCTCACCAAACTTGGCCCATGTATGTACCTTAAGGGGCCAATGATGAACTAATTCGATTTTTGGGTTATGAGGTCAAAGGTCACAGGGCTCATTATATATGCAATAAGAGCTAGTGATCACGTTATGTAATTGGGCTTAATATGTAAATCGCGCAATAGTGGAGGCATCATTTTCTCTCCTTCCATCTAGTTGAATGACATACAATATTGTACACTTTTCTTTGGAATACAGTCTTGATGCAACTGATGAGTGTGCTTTTGGGGATAGACTCGGCCGCCTCGTGAATCATGGACAAGGGAGGGAGGAGAACGCCCGAATGAAGATACTAGATATGAAGTCACATCCACACATGTGGATAATTGCTACAAAGAACATATCTAAAGGGACCGAAGTTCTGTACAATTATGGAGTTCGAGAACTGCCGTGGAAGAAAAAGGTAAAATTAATTTTGATAAATTTAGAGTATGATGGAAATTACAAGATTATTATCAGATGTGATAAAAGTCAAATTTTACCTTTTCATGTTTTTGCTTGTAACCCATGATAGACAAAGCAATACAAGTCATGTATGTGAGATTCAATTCTTTACCTCTGTACATTACCCATAATACTAAAAATTGCCCCATGTGATATAGCTAAACTGATTACATTTTGGACAAGTTTCTACTCATTATTTGGCTTTATTCATCTAATTTCTAATTATTTTTCCCCTCAGCATTTCAGAGGACAAGTTCAAAGGGAAGAAGAAGAAGGAGAGACACAAGTCCACCAACAGGAAAGAGGGACTCTAGGACAACAACAAGAAGGAGAGATGCAGGTTCACCAGCAAGAAGGACAGACACAAGGACATGAACAAGAAAGAGGGACTCTAGGGCACCAACAAGGAGAAGACATACATGTCCACCAACAAGGAGAGACACAGGTCCACCAACAAGGAGAGACAGAGGACCACCAACAAGAACGAGGAACACAAATCCACCAACAAGGAGGAGATACACATGTCCACCAACAAGAAGGAGAGACAGAGGGCCACCTACATGAAAGAGAGACTCTAGGACACCAACAAGAAGGAGAGATGGAGGTCCACCAACAAGAAGGAGAGACAGAGGGCCACCTACATGAAAGAGAGACTCTAGGACACCAACAAGGAGGAGAGATGGAGGTCCACCAACAAGAAGGAGAGACAGAGGGCCACCTACATGAAAGAGAGACTCTAGGACACCAACAAGGAGGAGAGATGGAGGTCCACCAACAAGAAGGAGAGACAGAGGGCCACCTACATGAAAGAGAGACTCTAGGACACCAACAAGGAGGAGAGATGGAGGTCCACCAACAAGAAGGAGAGACAGAGGGCCACCTACATGAAAGAGAAACTCTAGGACACCAACAAGAAGGAGAGATGGAGGTCCACCAACAAGAAGGAGAGACAGAGGGCCACCTACATGAAAGAGAGACTCTAGGACACCAACAAGAAGGAGAGATGGAGGTCCACCAACAAGAAGGAGAGACAGAGGGCCACCTACATGAAAGAGAGATTCTAGGACACCAACAAGAAGGAGAGATGGAGGTCCACCAACAAGAAGGAGAGACAGAGGGCCACCAGCAAGAAGGACAGACACAAGGACATGAACAAGAAAGAAGGACTCTAGGACACCAACAAGGAGAAGACATACATATATACCAACGAGGAAAGACACAGGTCCACCAACAAGAAGGAGAGACTCTAGGACACCAACAAGGAGGAGATACACATGTCCACCAAAAAGGAGTGACAGAGGACCACCAACAAGAAAGAGGAACACAAATCCATCAACAAGGAGAGACACAAGTCCACCAAAAAGGAGTGACAGAGGACCACCAACAAGAAAGAGGAACACAAATCCACCAACAAGGGGAGACACAAGTCCATCAACAAGAAAGAGAGACTCTAGGACACCAACAAGGAGGAGATACACATGTCCACCAACAAGGAGAGACACATGTCCACCAACAAGGAGGAGATACACATGTCCACCAGCAAGAAGGAGAGACAGAGGGCCACCAACATGAAAGAGAGACACAAGTCAACCAACAAGAGATAGGGACTCTAGGGCATCAACAAGAAAGAGGAACACAAATCCACCAGCACAGGGAGACACAACAAGAAAGAGGGACTCTAGGACACCAACAAGAAGGAGAGATGCAGATTAATCAGCAAGAAGGACAGACACAAGGACACGAACAAGAAAGAGGGACTATAGGACACCAACAAGGAGGAGACATACATTTCCACCAACAAGAAGGAGAGACACAGGTCCACCAACAAGAAAGAGGGACTCCAGGACTCCAACAAGGAGAGACACAAGGACACCAACCAGTCGAAGGAGAGTTCAAAGGATTAGAACAATCTGAGCATCCACAAAACTGTGTATCTCCATCAAGTTGTTCCTCAGATGAGGAAGAGCAGTACACACGCCCAAGAAGGTTCATCTACCCTAACCTATCTAAATCATCAAGTGAACTCCAAAATCATTTTGACAGTGATGAATCTGACCTTGATCCAACATATCGACCAGAGGAGGGTAGCAACGAGGAATACAGCAGTGATGATGAGGCAACTCTTGAGATTCATCCAAGAAATGTTCAAGTGCGCAAGAGACCATCTTCTGTTATATCTACACCAGATGAAAAACCTACAAAGATTTATAAACAGTGCCTTCCAGGATCATTTTCAGGGCCAGAATTGCCACATCAGAAAACCAATGATAATATGGAAACGACACACAAACACGAGGACAAGAAAACAAGGTACAAGAAGCCATCAAGGCCATGCCCTTTCTGCAACAAAGCTTGTGGTGAAAAGCTCTCGAGACACATTTGTTTGGTACATAAGGATAAGGAGCAGGTGAAATCTGCCATGCAGCTGCCAAAGCGGGAGAGAGACAAGGTGTTCTCAAAGTTCAGGAAGGAAGGCATATACCAAGTAAATAGAGAACGAATGAAAGATGACAACCCCATTTATGAAAGAGAAAAGTTACCAAAATCAGGGAATGATGACAACCTTAAAATGTGCAGTAACTGCAAGGGCTTTTACAGCTCACATTTCTTCTGGCATCACAGGAAAGTTTGCCAAGGTGATATATGCACTCCATCTGAAGGAGTACCAGTAAACCTCATGGAAGGGAAAGATCCAGTGTATCAAAAACACCCAGACTTTGTCACTGACATACTTAGTAGATTCCAGAATGATGACGTTGGGAATACGTGTAGAACGGACAAAGTGATAGTTAATGTTGGACATCGACTGTGGACTAAACACAGATCCAAAAAAGACAAGAAACTTGAAGTAAGAAAATCAGTTATGGCTGATATGAGAAGACTTGCCACCTTATACACTGAGTTTAAGAAGAAACACGAGGTTCATGGGACTGCAGATCTCACAATGGGACATGCTGGAGACATGTTCAGTAGAGAGCACTTCGAATCTTTGACAGAGGCAATCCAGACGCTCACTTATGATGAAACTGAAGGCAAACTAAAGCCAGGACTGAAACTCTGCTTGTACTTTGTGCTGAAAAAAGCTAGCAAAATCACTAAAGCTAGTTTTCTTGTATCCAGGCTAGATGAAGATGCATCTGAGATTGACAAGTTCGTAGAGATTCTTGACTTGAACCAGAATTTGATTTTTGGGGATGCACACTACGAAATCCAAAAGAATCGCCAAGTGCGTTTGAGGAAGCCTGCAGAGCTCCCGCTTGAGGCTGACATTGAAGCATTGAAGACATACACTCAAAAGAAAGTCACAGAAATCATCTCTGATGAGTTCCTGGTTTGGGATTCTCACACATTTGTAGAGTTACGAGATCTGACTTGCTCGCGATTGACATTGTGGAATGCAAGGCGTGGTGGAGAACCCAGCAGGCTTACAACCGAAGAATGGAGAGATGCAGAAGAGGGTGTATGGATGCAGAAAGACAAGATTCATGAAGTTAAAAATCCAGCCCATCAGGAACTTTTATCTCAGCTCAAGATATGCTACCAGACTGGGAAGGGCACTAATCGCTTGGTTCCAGTCCTGTTCCCAAGAGACACTGTGAAACCTGTGCAACTTCTATGTGATCAGGAAATCCGGCATACAGCAGGAATAAGACCTGATAATAAGTACATATTCGCTTGTACTCAAATGTCTCATGACCATGTTGGAGGGTGGCATGCTCTAAAGAATGTCTCAGACAACATCAGCCTTTCGTCCAACGTTACGGTGAATGCCACCAAGAACAGGCACAGAGTGTCTACAATTTACGCATCCCTCGACTTGCCTGATGCTGACTTGGAACTATTTTACCGGCATATGGGACACTCCTCTACAATCAATCAAACAATCTACCAGACCCCACTTGCCATCCAAGAAATCACCCGAGTAGGGAGTCATCTCCATCATATAGATATAGGAGGTAGGTAAACATTTATACAAATTTTGCATTGGTTCAATGTACCATATTATATGTACAGCAAATTTATGATTATCTCGAGTTCAGATTTATAACAGCGAGGCAGTAGTAATAGAAATAAGAGCTGATATAATTTTGAATTGGGATAGCATATAGGATAATAACATCGAGCAACAAAACAACCAGTAAATGATACACCCAATTGTACATTTATATGAAAACAATTGCAAAATATTGATGGAAAAAACTTGCACCATTTCATATTCCCAAATCTGAAGCAAACCTAACGCAGAAAACAAAAATGTTCATCAAGTGATATTTACTATTTATTTATTTCATAAACTCTTTGTGTTTGGTATATATTTATTTTGTATTTGTTTGATTGCACTATTACAAATTTGTTAATTTGTTTATGCTCTCTCTCTCTTATATTGACTGTTGTTATATCGTGTATGCAAATTATTGATGTTCGCATTTTATATGTCTTTCCCTTCTTATAGGAATGAGGGCACGCAAAGAATCTGAAGCGTCTGATGACGATGGCTGCTCAAGTGCACCAGCGACCTCAAAGGATGGCTGCTCTACTGCAACATTGACCTCTGGGGATAGGTCTTCAGGTAATATGAAAGCGAAGTGTTTTTTTTTTTGCACATTGTTGCTTTGATATTAAACAGGGAGTTGTTCCCATTAACTCTGCAGTTCAACTATCACATGTGCTGAATTCATAGTTGTATTGTATTGTTGAGAATCATAGGCATGAGTTCAAAACTTGGTTCTTGTAGAATGAATCAGTTCATAAAGGTTTCAGCATATGATACAATGGAGATTCATGAAGAAAAAAAAAAGTAGTAGATTCATGCATTTATATGACAAATATTGGTGTAAAACTAATTGGATCTGCTCAGGAACGCAACACTGTATGGGAAAAGTTTATAGCTGACCATAATGAGAAGTTTTCCCAGCAACCATTGTAAATACTGAAAGATTGTGTGATATGGATACAATTTGAATCTAGCAACTGCGAGAGTAATGGTAAAGGTGTATTTGGCCTAGACATTTAAAAGTTGGAGGGACACATGGGCTCTAACTACCTGTGCGCATGCATACAGCTTGTTGATTGATTTATTCCATATTTTTTAGCCCATGTGAGCAGAATGCTCAAGTGAGATTTTGCCATCCGTTTTGTTTGAAGGGGGTATACTGGAATCAGCGTGCAGTCGGTTGGGCGGTCGCGCGGTCGGTCGAATCTTGTGTCGTGAACTACTTCCTCAGTTTTTGAACAATTCTAGTGAAATTTGGCACAAATGTTTGCCTTGGGGTGTTGATGAGCAGACACACTATAGGCCCCTGAGCAAATTTACAAACTTTTTTTTCCCCCTTGGGGCACTATGGGGAGGTTGCGAAATTCAGGTGAGCATCTAGTCTACTGGGCTCTTTTTGAGTATTTTTTATTTTATTTTTGCCACATCATATGAGATGGGGATTTGAGGTTTGCAAAACATTAATCACCCTGTTTAAATTACAGTATCTTTTGCCCATAAATAAATTGGTACATGTAGGTGTCCCGATGCTGTGGTTATGTTTCATGAGATAAAGCAAATTCAGGGGAGGGTAGTCATGCAAGCTGCAACCGGAGTGTCGTGCGTTTTAAAGTATTTTTCTTCTTTTCAAACATCTTTCATAGATGTAGGCACAACATGTGACAAACTGTGAAACATGTCTGAAGCGTAGAAGTATATAAGGCTTATATGTTATGTCATTACAGCCCGAAGGTACAACCGCTGGTCAAAGCAGGGAAGCAAGCAGTGCAAGCAGTATTTCTCTGCAGCAATCAAACAAGGGGAACCATTACCAGGTAAGCTTCTTTGTGTTTATGTTTAAGTGCATCTTTAGGCAAAGGGTTGAGAAAAGTTGTAATTTTGTTGTCATTTTAAAGGGCAGGAAACTGGTATAGCATGTATTAGAAGTGTGCATATAATTTATATAAAAATCAGAATATTGTGTTCCAAGAAACTAAGTTCCAGGGATCCCCAGCTTTCAGTTTTGGTAGCTTCCATTTACTAGTTTCAAGGTCTAGTCATTATTATACCCCTGCCAAACGAAGTATATAGGAATCAGCGTGTTGGCAGAAGTTGATGACAGTGGCAGAAAGTGCATTGCCATGGTAATGGCATATTATGACAAACAAAGGGGGGGGGGGGATCTTGCATCGCGAACTACTCCTTCAGTTTTGAACAATTACGTGATAACTCAAGTATGACTTGATGGAATATCATCAAACTTTGAGTAGGACTTGGCAATTAATAAATTTGATTTTGAGTGACACTGCAATAGCTGGGGGGGGGGGGGAGGGGGTTATTCCCCCATCCATCAGATGTTCTTCGTTTACGCGATAATTTGAGTATGACTTGATTGATGTCATTAAACTTGGTAAGACGGTCATGTAGGACATGACAAGTAACTCAGGACTCATTTGATTTCCCCACCCCCATCTCGGACCTCGGCCATATATCAATGTGTGGCATGTGTGTATACATGGATTATTTGTTTTACAAAAATGCATAGTCAAATTTATTGTTATTCCTATTTGATTATGCACATATGCAACTTTTTTTCCAGGAGTTCTACTTTTTTTCTTCAGTTTCCAGCATTTATGGAGAAAGTGCACTTAATTGACATTAATTGGCTTTTCATGTACTCTGAAAGATAGCTTAGTCAAATTAATAATAAGTATTGAAATTTCATATGAGTTGATAGTGCAAATATGCAAATTTGTTCAATATAATGCAGTGCGTGAGAGGGCAGAGGCATACCAGTCGACTAGTTCCTATTTAATAACCTAAGATAGTATCGATGATGACAAAGGATTTAGAATGTATTGTTCTTATTTCATACCCAGGGAGGAAGGCCTGCACCACTTTCCTGCAAAGACATCAAATCACCATGGAATGGCAGGCGGTAAGAAATAAGGTGATGAACGAAAGGAATAAAGCAAAGAAAAACTTTGATGACAGAGAGAGGAGCTTCCTAAACTAATAATATTAGTTGGGTCAGATCATATGGTCTGATTAACATCTTTTGTTGCCTTTTTTGGCACAATACATGTACCTTCACCTGTATATTCCAGTAGGTATGTGGCTTCTAAATGAATATTCATGAAAGAGCTTGCACAAGGACTCATCCTCGTTTTGTTTCAGTGTCAAGCCTGGTCCTTTATCTGCACATGCGCAACCTGTAACTTGCTCTAATTTGTGATAGAGCTGAATTGATGAAAGTCTAATATGGTGGGCAAAGAGGTCAGTTGAAACATTGGTGTAATGATGATTAATGAGCCTGAATGAAGTTAGTTTATTTCGGTTTTCCCTGCCATTGACTTAGTGTATGTATTAAAGAAAGTGCTAAATGGTTATATAGTGGACATTTTGTAACCTGGATGTATGCAAGTTAAATGAATATTAAAGGTAATACAAAGTTTTGGGAATATTTCACTAGGGTCGGAGAATAACGTTTAAATTTTCATTATCATTGTAAAACCTTGTGTACGAAAAACCGCCTCTGAATAAATTGGGCTCTAAAACGCTTTGGATTTCGAGATATTCTAATATGAAATTTATCGGTGCTCCCGATAAATTTCAAATAGCGCCTACGGTCATAAAACGGTGGCTGCGACCATGAAAATCTCGGAATATGCAGTTCTGATATTAGGTTTCCAAAAGAATAGTCAAGAAACATTGCTTTAAAGCTAAAGTAATATCAATCCGGAGAGGGCGCTATACAACATAAAGAGTTTATTATCTACAATTTCATCACTTTAGACTCGATTACAACAGCGACAACGATCATTGTGTTTTGTTGGATCGTATATATGCTTCCAATATGTACATTTGAACAAAATTCATGACCCCATACCAAAACTTTGTATTACCTTTAAATTTAATTCAGGATCAAATGAAGATGACATGTATCTAATTAATGATGTAATGATGAATACTGCTTTCAGTGCATGATGAAGGTTTGGACATTAGAAATGATTGGTTGCACACTGTACAGTGAAGTGTAGTTATGCAGTCAAACTTCAAGTTCAATTCAAGTTTATTAGAGTGAACTACATATTATTAGACAAAGGGTATTTATAGTACTTGATAATGATGTCAGTTTGAGCACAATCCCTTTTCGAAGTGTTTTTGAAGAGCATCAACTTGATTCCACAAGCACAGATATTACAAAGACACTTAGATGTCATTTTACTATCTAATCTTGCATATATATGGATTGCACGTTTGCATCTAGTTGAACTTTTGTTATTGTTATTCCTGTTATTGGAATATTTTACAGCATTGCCTTTTATATGGTGTACATATTTGGCTACATCAGTGTTCTTTGTGACAAGAGTAAATAATGCTAATTTGCTCATTTAGTGCTATAATAATTACATGTGTTAATGTTTTTATTCATGAGAAATGTAGGAAAAGTATAACGATTACATTCTGACCCACTAGGTTGTAGTGTTGCATAACATTGGGCACTGTCCCTATTCATCCCAGAATAGACATCGAAATATGAAAATGACTACATCGGGATTAATTTCAGAACCGAAGATCTCCACATGTATGTTCTTTCTTTTGCTTTCATTTGTGAGGACCCAGACCAAACATGAGATGACTTCCTTTACTAGATTCAAAAGATACAGGCAAAGTTTTGACCACATCTTAATTTTACACCTTTTTTGAGAAGCTCTGTTTTCGTTCATGCACGAGTGGTTATTCATTGGTTCATGTCAAGTTAGTCATGGTTGGGTAGAGTATGTATGTTCCAATTATATGTAGAATTTCAAGGTTAAGCATTATTAGTTTTATAAATATTTTAGAAATATAAAACTACTACTGCTACTACTACTACTACTTCTACTACTACTACTACTACTACTACTACTACTACTACTACTACTACTACTAGTCTTGTATTACTACAACTACTACTAGTAGTACTACAGTACTACTACTGCTGCTGCCACTGCTGCTACTACTACTACTACTACTACTACTACTACTACTACTACATTGGAACCTCTTTATAACGAGGTCCTTGGGACCATGAAAATTACCTAATGTTATATCAGGTTTCTCATTATATCAGTGTAAAAAACCAAAGAAATATAAAGAGCTGGGACCAGCAAAATTACCTCGTTATAAGAGGATTTTGTTATATCCGATATCGTTATAACGAGGTTCCACTGTACTACTACTACTACTGCTACTGCTGCTACTACTACTACCACTACTACTACTACTACTACTACTACTACCACTACCAAGGAGGTTTACTACCAAATCCACCACCACACTACTTTGTTCTGTCTCTCTCCCCTTCCTCCCTCCCTTTCCCTATTTCCAATTTTCTGTCTCTTTCTTGCCATTTCTTTATTTTCTTGCCTGATGATGTGATACACTGAAATATTTTCTTGTATTGTCTGTGCAATTTAAATTGTTTCTTTAATATTCAATGTGACTATTAATTTAATATTTTGCATTGAGATCTCTCCCATTTATATAATATATGTATTCTACTTCATGCTTATTTATAATTTTGAGCATGTGCCCAATTTTTATTGCTTGATTTTAGACTTGCTCAATTAATCCATGGTTTACCTTTGTAATAAATTCCTTGCTAATAAAATAACTAAATAGTTCCCGCGTTTTGTTTTTGCTTTTGAATGTGACCTTTTGTGGATGACCAGTTGAAGATGTGAATGCATATTTTGATTGAGTTTGTGTCCATATACACATGTCTGTGAGATTCGTTGTGTCTGGTTCGTTTTGTTTGGCTTGTGCTAAACGGTCGGGTCGCGTTCGGGTTCCTTTTTGAAAGTTAGCATATGGTGTCTTCACATGCAAGATTCTTTTTCCTTTTCATATTTTTCTTATAGTATACAAATCCATTCATATGACATTGATAATGATATTATGATTTATAAAGAGGATAGTTATAATTATGATAATGGGATGAAGATGGTAAAAACTGTTGCGCACCTGTTGCGCCCTGGATCCGCCAGTGCATGTCATATCGAGTATTAACAAAAACAAAGGACATGTGCGAATATACCTCCACACAAGAAAAAAATGATAAAAAAAAACATTAATAATAACATAGACAAAATAATCGATAAACTTGTACTTCAAGGAGACACAAATATGTCTCCATTGAGTGGGTGTTTCCTAGAAGTAATGCATGTCTTCAAAGACCCAGGAAGTTTCCAGTTTGTGGAATTAAATCAAATAACAATAATAATAATGATGATGATAATATTTCTATAGATCTGACATTTGGGAGACATTTTGGTGTTATTATACCTACTTATAGGAGACACCCACATGAAGGAGACATTTTCGTGTTAATAAACAAGAATTTATAACAATGTTAATAGAAATGATAATAATGATAATAGTTATTATAATTATAACGATAATAGTAATTTAATATAGACTAAGCCTATGTGCAATCCTTATAACCCTTTAGGCTTGTATGAAGACTAATAGTATGTTCAAAAATCTATAAAGCAAAACATACATTTTAATTATGTTACATTTATATATATATATACATATATGTGTGCATGCTCAGTATCACTATCATTAGGAGACATGTCTCCCAATAGTATGAGAAAGACAAAATGTCTCCCTTTTGTTGCTCAGATAGTAATGAAACGTAAAGGAGACATAAATTACGACGGTATATCTTTTACTGAAAAAGTGTGTCTTTGAGGGTAAAAAGTAATTAAGTAATTGAAAGACTCTGGTTTGAAGATCTTTTCTGCGAAATAAAAACGAAAGTTTGTATGCTTGTTTTAACTTTATGGTACCATTTTGCTACTGTCTCCAAAATATTGATTTTTATCACATGTCTTCCGTATGTGCAATCCATAGTTATATATATATATATATATATATATATATATGGAGAGAGAGAGAGAGAGAGAGAGAGAGAGAGAAAAGAGATGGGACATGGAGGGAGAGGGAGAGAGACAGCCAGACAGATAGAAGGTGAGAGATAATGCATATTGCTTTCCTTCTAATGGAACGATATACCCAGAATAGAATAGTGGCTTTGCTGTAAATGTAGTAGATTAATCGGTCTAATACATCATGCATTCAATTATTTTCTGGTTTCCAGGAGAATCAACCTAAATTTGATCACTTTAAGAGGAAATTCAACGGAGAAAGAAACCAAAGTAGACATGGAGATTTCCTTTTTGTTCCCTTTTTCGGACGGTCGTGTAAAGTGTTGTTAAGGCAGACACGATTGAGGTATTGGATCCCGGATGCTATACAAAGGTTTTCTTAAAGGTCATAACATTTTGATGTTTAATGTTATCGTGAAAATTTGCAAGTGTGTATTTTAGAGCTAGAATCTGAAATGGAGGCACAAGAAGACATAGCGGGGGCATTATTTTGTGTGAACTTAAAGGTGCTATGTCCCATTTGCAGCCAACATCAAATTCTGCAGGACTTTGCAGGATTTATCAATATGTCTTGTATGTCCTATATGTGAAATTTAAACGTTAGTAGTGTCCTAATTTTGTTAATTATGCAAAGAACCCGTTTACTTTCTAGCTTCACTATCAGACACTATTAAGTGACTGACTGACTGTTTTCTTCTTGGGTAATAACATACAGAAAAGGAGCTGAAAAGGATACATCAGTATTCATCTACATCAATAACCCACTTCTTGTGATGGCCAAAATTAAACTGATTGAATCTTTACGCAGCACAAAACGTACGACCATTCGGTACAAGAGTCTGAAAATAAGACTATTACTAAATGGAATGCAATTACTTAAGTCGATTTGACAACTAATGGTCGTTATTTTCCCACTTAAAGACTTTTTCAAGCCCTTTCGTTTTGAGGAAAGTTCTAAATTAGTATTATCTTTCAAATTTCGTTGGAATGTAACATTGTCATTTTTGGGGCTTGCAAATGGGACATAGTACCTTTAAAGGTATGCTAAAATGGATTTTAAAGGGAACACGGATCTAATGTGCCCCTTGTTCTCAACTGCTAAGTACAATCATAATTGTAACCAAAAGCTTAGACATCATGATAATATTTTTCTGGGGAAAAAAAGACGTTCAGTCTATAGTCTAGCCAGTCACAATAGCCATAATTATATTTTAATGAATATTACGTGCATTCATGGTGGCTTACCACACTAAGATATATGAAATAGATTAAATCGTAAATGTTCCGACCTTAATTAATAATACTAATGATTTAACAATACTTTTGGCTGTGTGATTATAGTTCAATATAATGAGGTTGTTATTGTAAATTCGAAATTCTGTTATTTCAAAATTTTGAAAGGGTGTTTTTAATGGTTAAAAATAATGTCTCTCCAACGACACATTTGTCAAAAACCACTCATCTATCACATGTATAATAAATGCACCCCCTTCTGAATAATATATCTCCGGACATATTTCGTGCTTTCAATCGATACGCTATCTTTATCTCACGAATTCATCATCAAATTTCAAAATTGTACATCAATTATTTT